GTCTGGTTCATAGGTCTGGCTCATGGGTCTGGCTCATGGGTCTGGCTGATGGGTCTGGGTCATGGGTCTGGCTCCTGGTTCTGGCTCAGGGGTCTGGCTCATTGGTCTGGCTCATGGGACTGGCTTAAGGGTCTGGCTCATGGATCTGGCTCATGGGTCTGGCTCATGGGTCGAGCTCATGGATCTGCCTCATGTGTCTGGCTCATGTGTCTGGCTCATGGGTCTGGCTCATGGGTCTGGCTCAGGGTCTGGCTCATGTGTCTGGCTCATGGGTCAGCCTCATGTGTCTGGCTCATGGGTCTGGCTCATGGGTCTGGCTCATAGGTCTGGCTCATTGGTTGGCTCATGGGTGTTGCTCATGGGTCTGGTTCAAGGTCTGGCTCATGGTCTGGGTCATGGGTCTGGATCATGGGTCTGGCTCCTGGTTCTTGCTCATGGTCTGGCTCATGGGTCTGGCTCATGGTCTGGCTCATGGGTCTGGCTCATGCGTCTGGCTCGTTGGTCTGGGTCATGGGTCTGGCTCATGGGTCTGGCTCATGGGTCTGGGTCATGGGTCTGGCTCATGGGTCTGGCTCGAGGGTCTGGCTCATGTGTCTGGCTCATGGGTCGAGCTCATGTGTCTGGCTCATGGGTCTGGCTCATGGGTCTGGCTCATGGGTCTACCTTATGGGTCTGGCTCATGGGTCTGGCTCCTGGGTCTGGCTCATGGGTCTAGCTCATGGGTCTGGGTCATGGGTCTGGGTCATGGGTCTGGGTCATTGGTCTGGCTCATGGGTCTGGCTCATGGGTCTGGCTCAGGGGTCTGGCTCATGGGTCTGGCTCATGGGTCTAGCTCATGGGTCTTGCTCATGGGTCTGGCTCATGTGTCTGCTTCATGGGTGTGGCTGATGGGTCTGGGTCATGGGTCTGGCTCATGGGTCTGGCTCATGGGTCTGGCTCAAGGGTCTGGCTCATTGGTCTGGCTCATGGGTCTGGCTCATGGGTCTGGCTCATGGGTCTGGCTCATGGATCTGGCTCATGGTCCGGCTCATGGGTCTGGCTCATGGGTCTGGCTCATGGGTCTGGCTCATGGGTCTGGCTCATGGGTTTGGCTCATGGGTCTGGCTGATGGGTCTGGCTCATGGGTCTGGCTCATGGGTCTGGCTCATGTGTCTGGCTCATGGGTCGGAGTCATGTGTCTGGCTCATGGGTCTGGCTCAAGCGTATGGCTCATGGGTCTGGCTCATGGGTCTGATCAAGGTTATGGTCATGGGTCTGGCTCATGGGTCTGGTTCACGGTTCTGGCTCATGGGTCTGGCTCATGGGTCTGGCTCATGGGTCTGGCTGATGGGTCTGGCTCAAGGTATGGCTCATGGGTCTGGCTCATGGGTCTGGCTCATGGTTCTGGCTCATGGTTCTGGCTGATGGGTCTGGCTCATGGGTCTGACTCATGGGTCTGGCTCATTGGTCTTGCTCATGGGTCTGGCTGATGGGTCTGGCTCATGCGTCTGGCTCATTGGTCTGGGTCATGGGTCTGCCTCATGGTCTGGGTCATGGGTCTGGGTCATGGGTCTGGCTCATGGGTCTGGCTCGAGGGTCTGGCTCATGTGTCTGGCTCATGGGTCGAGCTCATGTGTCTGGCTCATGGGTCTGGCTCATGGGTCTTGCTCATGGGTCTACCATGGTCTGGCTCAGGTTATGGCTCATGGGTCTGGCTCATGGGTGTGGCTCATGGTCTGGCTCATGGGTCTGGCTGGTGGGTCTGGCTCATGGTTCTGGCTCATGGTTCTGGCTCATGGTTCTGGCTGATGGGTCTGGCTCATGGGTCTGGCTCATGGATCTGGCTCCTGGTTCTGGCTCATGGGTCTGGCTGATGGGTCTGGCTGATGGGTCTGGGTCATGGGTCTGGCTCATGGGTCTGCTCATGGTTCTGGCTCATGGTTCTGGCTCATGGTTCTGGCTGATGGGTCTGGCTCATGGTTCTGGCTCATGGTTCTGGCTCATGGTTCTGGCTGATGGGTCTGGCTCATGGGTCTGGCTCATGTGTCAGGCTCATGGGTCTGGCTGATGGGTCTAGGTCATGGGTCTGGCTCATGGATCTGGCTCCTGGTTCTGGCTCATGGGTCTGGCTGATGGGTCTGGCTGATGGGTCTGGGTCATGGGTCTGGCTCATGGGACTGGCTCATGTGTCTGGCTCATGGGTCGGGCTCATGTGTCTGGCTCATGGGTCTGGCTCAAGCGTATGGCTCATGGGTCTGGCTCATGCGTCTGGATCAAGGTTATGGTCATGGGTCTGGCTCATGGGTCTGGTTCATGGTTCAGGCTCATGGTTTTGGCTGATGGGTCTGGCTCATGGTTTGGCTCATGGTTCTGGCTCATAAGTCTGGCTCATGGGTCTGGCTGATGGTCTGGGTCATGGGTCTGGATGATAGGTCTGGGTCATGGGTCAGGCTCATGGGTCGGGCTCCTAGTTCTGGCTCATAGGTCTGGCTCATGGGTCTAGGTCATAGGTCTGGCTCAAGGGTCTGGCTCATGGGTCTGGCTCATGGGTCTGGCTCATGGGTCAGGCTGATGGGTCTGGGTCATGGGTCTGGCTGATGGGTCTGGCTCAAGGTTATGGCTCATGGGTCTGGCTCATGGGTCCGGCTCATGGTTCTGGCTCATGGTTCTGGCTGATGGGTCTTTCTCATGGGTCTGGCTCATGGGTCTGGCTCATGGGTCAGGCTCATGGGTCTGGCTGATGGGTCTGGGTCATGGGTCTGGCTCATGGATCTGGCTCCTGGTTCTGGCTCATGGGTCTGGCTCATGGGTCTGGCTCATAGGTCTGGCTCAGGGTCTGGCTCATGGGTCTGGCTCATGGGTCTGGCTTATGGGTCTGGCTCATGGGTCTGGCTCATGGGTCTGGCTCATGGGTCTGGCTCATGGGTCTGGCTCATGGGTCTGGCTCATGGGTCTGGCTCATGGGTCTGGCTGATGGGTCTGGGTCATGGGTCTGGCTCATGGGTCTGGCTCATGGGTCTGGCTCAAGGGTCTGGCTCATGTGTCTGGCTCATGGGTCGGGCTCATGTGTCTGGCTCATGGGTCTGGCTCAAGCGTATGGCTCATGGGTCTGGCTCATGCGTCTGGATCAAGGTTATGGCTCATGGGTCTGGCTCCTGGGTCTGGTTCATGGTTCAGGCTCATGGTTTTGGCTGATGGGTCTGGCTCATGGGTCTGGCTCATGGTTCTGGCTCATAGGTCTGGCTCATGGGTCTGGCTGATGGGTCTTGGTCATGGGCCTGGCTGATAGGTCTGGCTCAAGGTTATGGACCATGGGTCTGGCTCATGGGTCTGGCTCATGGTTCTGGCTCATGGTTCTGGCTGATGGGTCTGGCTCATGGGTCTGACTCATGGGTCTGGCTCATGGGTCTGGCTCATGGGTCTGGCTGATGGTCTGGGTCAGGGGTCCGGCTGATAGGTGTGGCTCAAGGTTATGGCCCATGGGTCTGGCTCATGGGTCTGGCTCATGGTTCTGGCTCATGGTTTTGGCTGATGGGTCTGGCTCATGGGTCTGGCTCATGGGTCGTGCTCCTAGTTCTGGCTCATGGATCTGGCTCATGGGTCTGGGTCATAGGTCTGGCTCAAGGGTCTGGCTCATGGGTCTTCTCATGGGTCTGGCTCATGGGTCTGGCTCATTGGTCTGGCTCATGGGTCTGGCTTATACGTCTGGGTTATGGGTCTGGGTCATGGGTCTGGGTCATGGGTCTGCCTCGAGGGTCTGGCTCATGTGTCTGGCGCATGGGTCGAGCTCATGTGTCTGGCTCATGGGTCTGGCTCATGGGTCTGGCTCATGGGTCTACCTCATGGGTCTGGCTCAAGGTTATGGCTCATGGGTCTGGCTCATGGGTACGGCTCATGGTTCTGGCTCATGGTTCTGGCTGATGGGTCTGGCTCATGGGTCTGGCTCATAGGTCTGGCTCATGGGTATGGGTCATGGGTCTGGCTCATGGGTCTGACTAATGGGCTCGTCAGATGTGTCTGGCTGATGTGCCTGGCTCATGAGTGTGCCTCATGTGTCTGGCCCATGTGGCTGGCTCATGTGTCCGGCTGATGTGTACGTCTGATGTGTATGCCACATGCGTCTGGCTCATGCGTTTGGCTCATGGGTCTGGCTCAAGGGTCTGGCTCATGTGTCTGGCTCATGTGTCTGGCTCATGGGTTTGGCTCATGGGTCTGGCTCATTTGTCTGGGTCATGGGTCAGGCTCATGGGTCTGGCTCAAGGGTTTGGCTCATTTGTCTTGCTCATGGGTCTGGCTCATGTGTCTGGGTCATGGGTCTGGCTCATGGGTCTAGCTCATGGGTCTGGCTCATGGGTCTGGCTCATGGGTCTGGCTCATGGGTCTGGCTCAAGGGTCTGGCTCATGGGTCTGGCTCATGGATCTGGCTCAAGGGTATGGCTCATGGGTCTGGCTCATGTTTCTGGCAGATGGGTCTGGCTGATGGGTCTGGCTCATGGTTCTGCCTTATGGGTCTGGCTCATGGGTCTGGTGTTATAATCACAATAGGCTTAGATGTGCCTATAATGAGAGATAGAGAGCACAGTCGGATTTCCGTCAGACGGCTTCAAATATTGATAACGATTTGGTGGCTGAATCAAACGGTGATCTGTGAATGGGATCTGGAGCGCGTTGCTGTCTTCTATTAGCAGCAAGTTGAATCATGAAATTCCATGAAGATTGGACGACGCTATGGCGGTTTGACTTGCAGGAGGTATAGCAGCCACTATAGTCTTAGGAGTACAAACTTAGCAAGAACAATTCGAGAGGGAGATGGTTCCCAGCCTCTACATACCCCAAGAGCCGAGGTCCAGGTTGGTGGTACACCACCACAGAGTCCCCAACCATGAAGAGTCTCGAAACCAACCCTCCAAGGGGCTACACCAAGTGAAATGTAACACTACACGAAGTAACGTTACTATTTTCACTATTTAATATTTATCTGCGTCCCTTGGGCTTGAAATCTTGAGCTCTTGTTCTTGGATCTGCAAGATAAATTCTTCTTGAGTTGATGGGGGCTTGCTGCACACACCTGCGACACGATGGACATTGCACACTGGACAAAATAGAAAAACACATGCGACACACAAACGACGACTTGACATGCGAGTTGTAAAAACTCGCTAATGTCTTGACCGACACAAACCACATTGTGATACACCATTCAAACACACACACAAGCACTGGATAGCAATGACATAGACTCATAATTCATTCCATGCCATGCATGCACACACACAAACAAGGACGACAAGCCGAGTGCAAGCCATAGGGTTGCACCAACAAACTCCCCCTCGGATTGTTGGCCTTAGAATCTGCTCCCCTTAGTTCAGAGCCATCCCAGCAAGCTTGCAACACTTCCAATGCTGCTGCTCAACCAGCCTCTTGGTCATCATATCAGCAGGCTGCGCCGTCGTCTTCACGTAGTGCAACTCCACTTCACCCGCGGTTACCATGCTCCTCACCCAATGCCACTTCACCTTCATGTGCTTGGTAAGGCCATGAAGAACTGGGTTCTTAGCCAATGCAATAGCACCCTGGCTATCACAGTAGAGTGGGGTAGGTCCTTGCTGCTCCTCCCCCAATTCAGCTAGCAAACGCCGCTGCCACACAACCTCTCTTATGGCACGGAAGAGTGCCATGTACTCGGACTCCACCGAGCTCAATGCTTGGTCCACTTGCTTCTTGCTCTCCCAAGCTGTTGGGCCTCCACCAACACAGCAGATGAAGCCTCCCACACTTGTCATGTCCTCTGGTTCTGATGCCCAAGATGCATCAGAGAAGGCGGTGAGAAAGAGCCTCCCGGGTTCGACTCCATCCGCACCCTTTTGACGCCTTTGTGCCGCCGCGGAGTATTGCAGTCCAACAGTTGCTGTTTGGCCAATGTACTTGGCCACCCTCTCTCTAGCAGCTACCTGCTCTTCATTAGGGCATTGGACAACCCTAGCCAGCTGCCCGGTAGTAAAGGCTGCATCCGGCCTTTTGTGAACGGCCGCATACATGAGGCTGCCCACCAAGGAGTGAAAACGGCGCCTCTCCTCTTCACCAACACTTTCCTCCGCTGGTCCTTTCACACACTTGAACCCTGAGGGAAGAGGAGTAGCCACATGACCTTCACTCTTCCCAAAGTTTGCAGCCAAGGCCTCCAAGTACTTCTTTTGATGCACTCGCATCTACCGCTTCTCCACATCTCGCTCAATGTGAAGTCCAAGGTAGTAGTTGACGTCATCAAGGGTCTTGCATTTGAACTTGTCTTGAAGCTTCAGCATCACATCCTTCACAAGGTCAAAGGAGGGTGAGAATATGAGGATGTCATCCACATAAGCCACCATGAAGCTCCTCTGCTCCCCCTTGCCAAGCATGAACAAGGATTGATCGGCCGTTGAGGGAGTGAAGCCGATCGCCTCCAAGACTTCCCGCAGCTTGATGTACCATTGCCTAGGGGCTTGCTTGAGGCCATAGAGTGCTTTCTTCAGCTTCCACACTCTGCCACTCCCATTATTGTACCCCTCTGGCTGCTCCATGTAGGTCTCTTCTTCCAAAACGCCGTTGAGGAAGGCCGTTACTATATCCATTTGCTTCACCACCCATTCTTTGATGGCCGCCGCGGCGAAGAGGGTTCGAAGGGTTGTACCCTTCACCACAGGGGCATATACTTCATTGTAGTCCTTCTTCTCTTGCTGCTGATACCCCTTGGCTACAAGTCTGCTCTTGTAACGCTCGATGTTGCCGTCGGCGTCGGTCTTGCGCTTGAAGAGCCACTTGGAAGAGATCGCCTTACGCCCTGGAGGTAGGTTCACCAAGTCAAACGTGTCGTTCTCGATGATGCTCCCCATTTATTCATCTGAGGCCTTCTTCTACTCCTTCCCATTGGGGCCCTCCCAAGCCTCCTTGGGATTTGTAGGCTCCCCCGATATCTCCACCGGAGAGAAGAAGGCAAAAGCGCACTCCTTGCTTTCATCTTCCGCATCATCGCCTAGCATGAGAGCCGAACCGGTCAAGGTTGAGTTGGCTGGTCCTCCAAGCCGGTCATAGCTCAACCTATTAGGGGGCTGAGTCCTCCTTCTCCCCCTTCCTCCTCTGCTGCAGGGACTTGAATGCTCTCATGGCGTTGCGGTAAATCTGGTCGGTTCCGACGAGCACTTGTAGCACGAGGCGGAAGTGACGGTGCACGCTCATCACCCTTGCTGCACCTTCTCCTCCTCCTCATCCCCATTCATTTGAGGAGATTGCCTCGTGACTGTGCTGCTGCTACTCAGCTCCAAGGGCAGCTCCACATGCTCCAAGCCGTTACTCTTCACCTCTCCAAGCCGCACACCAATCTTCGCTTGGTTCTCCGCCTTCCACTCCTTGTATGGTAAGTTCTCCATGAACTTGCAATCTCTGCTCACCAAGAACTTCTTGGTAAATGGGTCCCAAAGAAGCCATCCCTTGCTGTTTTGAGCCATGCCCAGGTGCACGGCCCATGCTGCCTTAGCATCAAGCTTGTTGTGCCGAAGTTTCTTAGGCACAAGTGCCATGCACATGCACCCGAACACCCGAAGCATATCCACCTTCGGCTTCCTTCCAATCCACTCCACATAGGGCACCCATTTGTCTTCTCCCACATGAGTCAAGGCTCTGTTCTTGGCCACACAAGCATGCCGCACCGCATCCGGCCAAAAGTAAGTGGGAAGACCGGCTTGAATGAGAAGTCCCCGAGCCGTCTCCGTGAGTGTCCGATTCGCACGCTCGGCGATGCCGTTCATTGCAGGAGAGTAGGGCATGGTAAGAGAGTGCCTTATGCCCTGCTTCTTCAGCCAAGTTGAGAAATCCTTGCTCAGGAACTCTCCCCCACGGTCAGTGCGAATCGCCTTCACAAGTCGGTCTTGTTGCCGCTCCACCATCGGCAACCAATCGGTTTTCACCGTTTCAGCTACGTCACTCTTCTTGGGCAGCACATACACCCAAGTCATGCGAGTGTAGACGTCCACAATGGTGAGGAAGTACTCAGCTCCAGCAGCTCCAAGCTTCAAGGGGCCCACCACATCCATCACCACCTCATCAAGTGGTGCCTTCGCCGTTGTCTCCGAGCTATGGAATGGGTAGCGGGTGAACTTGGCTTGCATGCATGTTGGACAGCCAAGCACCTCATTGGGCTCCCCCTTGACACGTATCCTACTGACCATCTCTTGCTTAACTATCTGCTGCAAAATGGGCAATGCCACATGCCCCATTCGTCGATGCAAGGTCAGCCAATCACACTCTCCCGTAGCGGAAGTCGGGTTGGAGAAAGCGGCACTCGCAATTGTGCCCCACAAGCTCTCTCCTTTCTCCTTCACCACTGCTGCTTTGCTGATCTTAGGATTCTCCTTCTCATTTCCACCACCTTTGGCTGCTGCACCACTCTCCTTGGGTTCACATGCCTTGCTGGTGTCTCCAAGGTTGCACTCCTTCGAGTCACTCTTGGTGTCACTTTGCTTTCCGTGATCACCGCCACCAACCGCTTCACTCTTGGTGCGGACGCTTGCTGCCACTTGCCTCTCCTTAGGCATGGGGACCACTGGGATTTGCCACATCTCATTGTAGATGTCCCTGTCCTCATGAAGGTCCCAAAGCTTCCGCTCACCAAGCCTTGCGGTATAGGTTTTGGATCCCTTGGAAGATGTGTCCATGCCGGCCTTTTGCAAACGCCGAACGGAAATCAGGTTGGCTGCTAGGTTGGGCACCAAAAGCACGTTCTTGAGGCCCACCATCTTCCCATCAGCACCCTTGAACATGGCCTTGCCCATGCCTTTCACCTCTGCTCGCTGCCCCAAAGACGATGTAACATGCTTGACCGGCGACGGTTCGAGTTCGGTGAGCAAGTCCGCACGAGGTGTCATGCTGTAGGTGGCGCCGCTATCGATCACCCAAAAGTCCAGAGAGTGAAGGGTGACCTTTTCCACAGTAGCTGGCTCCTCAAAGCCTTCCACACCTCCTGCTGCAGCTGCCGCTTGCGTGGAGACAAAGAAGAATTGGCCCGGGTATCGATCTTCACTCGAGTCCTTGTCGTAGTCTCCACCTTTCATGCTTGCCGCTTCGCTTCCACGACCACCACGGCCTCCACGACCTCTGCCTCTTCCTCCCCTTGCTCCTCTGCCCTCTTGGCCTTGAGAAAGGGTCCATCCATCAGGCAATCTGAAGCAATCTCTCCACATGTGGCCGGTCTTGTGGAAAAAGTGGCATTCGCCATCAAATCGACCGCGCCCACGCCCGTAGCCATTGTTGTTGTTGTTGCTGCCATATCCTCCATTACCACGGCCTCCACTGAAGTTACTGCTGCCAAATCTTCCTCCTCGCCCTCTGCCCCTTCCACGGCCGTGCCCACGGCCCATGCTTGCAACTCCGGCACCATCGGGACCCGCCAATTCGCGACGGCGGAAATCTTCTTGTAAGATTTCCCGTTTCACATCTTCGAGTGAGAGACGGGGCAGATCTCGATTAAGGTTGATGATGAGCGAGGACCATGAGTCCGAAAGTAAGGCCAGCAGCTTGGTCTTCTTTTGAAGGTCACTGTAGTTCAGGTCAGCTCCTTCGAGCCGTGTCAACAAGTCGAAGAATTTCTGCACTCCTTCCTCCACCGGTTCGCCTTCGTCAATTCGAAGTGCCGCCATTTGCCATTCCAAAACCACAGCCACCGCCGCTGTTGCAGGAGCGTGTACACCCTTGAGAGCAGCCCATGCCTTTGGTCCCTTTGCTGGTTCACGCTGAAAAGGCTTGATGTGACGGATTTGGCTGCTCCCCAACGCCTGCCCAAGTAGAAGGTAGCCTTGTGCGCTCTTCCGCACCCACGGGCTCTTCTCCGGGTCGTTCTCGTGGCGCTTCTCCGTTCCTTCCATCACCTCCAACAGATCATAGTGGTCAAAGATGTTCTCCATCTTGAAGAACCACTCAGCAAAGTTGTCACCGTTGAACTTGTCAAGGCCAAACACTCTAGGCTCATCCCTAGAGGGTCCAAGGCTAGGTTGCACCGGAGCAACGGGTGGATCTTGGTGTTGACCTTGTGCTTGGGCGTCTTCTCTGCCTCCAGCACCTCTGCCACCCCCTTCCTCAGGTCTAGGCATGGTCGAGACGGTTCCAAGGGGCTCTGATACCACTTGTTATAATCACAATAGGCTTAGATGTGCCTATAATGAGAGATAGAGAGCACAGTCGGATTTCCGTCAGACGACTTCAAATATTGATAACGATCTGGTCGCTGAATCAAACGGTGATCTGTAAATTGGATCTGAAGCGCGTTGCTGTCATCTATCAGCAGCAAGTTGAATCATGAAATTCAATGAAGATTTGACGACGCTATGGCGGTTTGACTGGCAAGAGGTATAGCAGCCACTATAGTCTTAGGAGTACAAACTTAGCAAGAACAGTTCGAGAGGGAGATGGTTCCCAGCCTCTACATACCCCAAGAGCCGAGGTCCAGGTTGGTGGTACACCACCACAGAGTCCCCAACCATGAAGAGTCTCGAAACCAACCCTCCAAGGGGCTACACCAAGTGAAATGTAACACTACACGAAGTAACGTTACTATTTTCACTATTTAATATTTATCCGCGTCCCTTGGGCTTGAAATCTTGAGCTCTTGTTCTTGGATCCGCAAGATAAATTCTTCTTCAATTGATGGGGGCTTGCTGCACACACCTGCGACACGATGGATACTTCACACTCGACAAAATAGAAAAAACACATGCGACACACAAACGACGACTTGACATGCGAGTTGTAAAAACTCGCTAATGTCTTGACCGACACAAACCACATTGTGATACACCATTCAAACACACACACAAGGACTGGATAGCAATGACATAGACTCACAATTCATTCCATGCCATGCATGCACACACACAAACAAGGACGACAAGCCGAGTGCAAGCCATAGGGTTGCACCAACATCTGGGTCATGGGTCTGGCTGATGGGTCTGGCTGATGGGTCTGGGTCATGGGTCTAGGTCATGGGTCTGGCTCCTGTTTCTGGCTCATGGGTCTAGCTCATGGGTTTGGCTCATTCTTCTGGCTCATGGGTCATGCTCATGGGTCTGGCGCATGGGTCTTGCTCATGGGTCTGGCTCATGGGTCTGGCTCAAGGGTCTGGCTCATGGGTCTGGCTCATGGGTCTGGCTCAAGGGTATGGCTCATGGGTCTGGCTGATGGGTTTGGCTCAAGGGTATGGCTCGTGGGTCTGGCTGATGGGTCTGGCTCATGGGTCTGGCTCATGGGTCTGGCTCATGGGTCTGGCTCATGGGTCTGGCTCATGGGTCTGGCTCATGGGTCTGGCTCATGGGTCTGGCTCATGGGTCTGGCTCATGGGTCTGGCTCATGGGTCTGGCTCATGGGTCTGGCTCATGGGTCTAGTTCAAGGTTATGGCTCATGGGTCTGGCTCATAGTTCTGGCTCATGGTTCTGGCTGATGGGTCTGGCTCATGGGTCTGGCTCATGGGTCTGGCTCATGGTTCTGGCTCATGGGTCTGGCTGATGGGTCTGGGTCATGGGTCTGGCTCCTGGTTCTGGCTCAGGGGTCTGGCTCATGGGTCTGGCTCATGGGTCTGGCTCAAGGGTCTGGCTCATGATCTGGCTCATGGGTCTGGCTCATGGGTCTAGCTCATGGATCTGTCTCATGTGTCTGGGTCATGGGTCTGGCTCATGGGTCGGGCTCAAGGGTCTGGCTCGTGTGTCTGGCTCATGGGTCGGCCTCATGTGTCTGGCTCATGGGTCTGGCTCATGGGTCTGGCTCATGGGTCTGGCTCATTGGTCTGGCGCATGGGTGTTGCTCATGGGTCTTGCTCATGGGTCTGGGTCATGGGATTGGTGTTCGAGATAGGCTGC